ACAAAGGTCCAGTGACGGTTCAACAAGGGAAAATAGCTGTTTTCAGGAGGAGCCGACGGGGTCTATTCTTCTAAATAACTGTTCTAGTTCGATTTTTTTTAATTGGAAAGGGATTTTGGGCTACGTTATTGCGTCTTTCCTTCAGGTCAAAGACTTTTTTCAGGTCAAAAAGGCTTATATAACGTTTTTTATGGTCAAAACATTCTTAGACTGTATATATTCCTTGCCTTAGAGTTCTTTTTTCCTGAATTTCTCGCTGGCAACCAGTTGTAACTTACAGCTGGCTGGGACATAAGAACAGATAGTATTTCTCCCAGGAAACCGTCGTCTCGTCCTATGTTTTCTGGTGTAATAAACACACAATTTTGATAATTCGATTCCATGTGCTTTGCTTCAGTTGAAATGCAAGTAAGAAGTACTGTACAATTCTTACGTTTTATTTGTGTTCCTCTAGAAATCCAACACTTATTACCGCCATGGATTTGAGGATCGCAAAACTTTTCATTGGGTTTTGTGTGTCGTATGCAGCTCATCGTAGCGATCTTAATCTCACACGGACAAAAAGACAAGAACTGATCTCCTTATTAGAGGAATGTTTGGTGATGGCTTTTTTCCTAAATGATTCCGTGACACTTGTCATCATTTATCTTTTACTTGGTCGTTTATACCATCACGCCTATCAATCAGCGAAGGCAATAGATTATGTCAAGAACTTCCTAGGCCTTATTACTGCCGTTGGAGGCAATCATGCTCTAGAGATGTATGCTAACAAACAATTAGGGATTGCCTATCAATCATTAAGAGAATATCACAAGGCGATTGAATATTATGAAAAGACCTTAGCCATTGCTAAAGAGATTGGTGACAGACAAGTAGAAGTAGATACTTATGGAAATTTAGGAAATTCCTATAGATCACTAGGAGAATGTCACAAGGCGATCCTATATCACGAAAAGACCCTATCCATTGCTAAAGAGATTGGTGACAGAAAAGGAGAAGCAGCTACTTATGGAAATTTAGGGGCTGCCTATTATTCATTAGGACAATATCGCAAGGCGATTGTATATCAAGAAAAGAGTCTGAGCATAGCTAAAGAGATTGGTGACAGACAAGGAGAAGTATCTATTTATGGAAATTTAGGGATTAACTGTCATTCATTAGGAGAATATCACAAGGCGATTGAATATTGCGAAAAGAGACTGAGCATAGCTAAAGAAATTTGTGACAGACAAGGAGAAGGAGCTAGTTATGGAAATTTAGGGGCTGCCTATCAATCATTAGGAGAATATCACAAGGCGATTGAATATCACGAAAAGAGACTGAGCATAGCTAAAGAGATTGGTGACAGACAAGGAGAAGGAACTAGTTATGGAAATTTAGGGGCTGCCTATAATTCATTAGGACAATATCGCAAGGCGATTGTATATCACGAAAACAGACTGAGCATAGCTAAAGAGATTGGTGACAAACAAGGAGAAGGAGCTWGTTATGGAAATTTAGGGGGTGCCTATTATTCATTAGGACAATATCGCAAGTCGATTGTATATGWCGATAAGAGTCTGAGCATAGCTAAAGAGATTGGTGACAAACAAGGAGAAGGAGCTACTTATGGAAATTTAGGGGCTGTCTATCAATCATTAGGAGAATATCACAAGTCGATTGAATATCACGAAAAGGGACTGAGCATAGCTAAAACGATTGATGACAGAGAAGGACAAGCAACGTCCCATCATAATATAGGTAAGTAATATATGCTCGAAATGTATTCTTAGAAATTCTTAAAAATCTGACAGTAAATATATCTATACATTGTTAATTTACTATTATCACTTACCACATGTAACCAAGGCGATAAATTGCGTATATTTATCTAAATTACCTACAAAGCTTGGCTATCAAATTAATTAGCATATTTTCCAACTGATATTTCTATATTGTTATGTTKGTRAAAAAAAGATTTTGCTGTTTTGAATTCGGTGAAAACAATAATGATAAAAAAGTCGAAAAAAGTTCAACAAAGCAAAGCCAACTGACTGAAAATCCTATCGGCTGCAATATTCACCGTTCAGTGACATTACCGCAGTTTTCTATTGACCCTGCTAGTATGTATTTGTACCAARCAACTCACACAAATTCGTATTGGCCACACCCATTTGTCMTTTAGATGTTAGATATGACGATATGATGCAAACATATGTTTAAATGTAATATCATTGTAATATCTAATATTACATACTAGAATCAGAAGTAGTACTGACTAAAATCAAATTATGTATTCTATCAGTCACATCATCATTTTTGTATCAAAACTACTTCTGTTCTGACTATAAAGTTAATTGCAGGTTAAAGTTAGTACATGTTAGTCTAATTCCAAAGTAATCGTCTCTCTATTTAAGGTCATGTTTATCAGTTAGAATCGAGTATTAAAGACCTCAGCAAATCAAAACAACACCTGGAGAACAGCATACAATGCTACGAGAAATTGTTTAATGATTTAAAAGACAATGACCAATTCAAGGTTTCAATTGTCGATACATTCATCACTACCTACAAGTTCCTCAGCCAAGTCTACATCAAAACAAGACAAAKTGAAGAAGCTCTCTTAGTATGTGAACATGGGCGAGCACGTGCTTTGAGAGATCTCTTGTCCCTTGAATACAACACAACTGAGAAAGTCGAAACAAAAGCACTGGAACTTGCAGATGTCAAGACAATTTTCTCTCATCGTGAAGGCTGCATTCTTTTTTACAATGTTCATAGTAACAAGGTTACTTATCATAGCTGGGTCATATCATCCCGAAATCCATCAGTTCTCTTTTACGATGAAATAGACAATCGCGATGCTTTGGCAACAATTTTGTCGAGCCTCTCTGATGATGAGAGAAAACATACCGAAGCGGGATATTTTCAATATCTCGTTGACAACTGTTTCCAGCAGCTGAATGTTAGAGAAGGAAAAGTAATGAAATGCGAAGACAGATCAATGAAGTCACTAGCGCATGAAGACCTGGAGTGTGCACCCTCGACAAACTCCTCGCAGCTTAGTGAAAATGCTCTCAAAGCTTTTCAAAAGGTTGACAGATGCATTCCCGACGAAGACGACGATGACATGGAGCCTCTTGATATGCTTTTCTATAGACTAGTTTCCCCAGTACTGGACCAGCTGACCCACGACGAGGTGATTATCATCCCTGACGGTTATCTTTTCATGGTGCCATTCGCTGCTCTTCAAGATCC